ATATATATATATATATATATATATATATATATATATATATATATATATATATATATATATATATATATATATTGCATGTGCTATTATATGTACGTATGTACGTATGTATGTGATTTTTTGTGTGCAGAGTTCGGCATTTCTGGCGATATTCATGGGATGATTTCGCAATTCATTTCAATTTTACCGGTAGATTTTCAGCTGTTGTCGATGCGGGACCTTCTGCTGTAGCAATTAATGTATCGCAGTTTTGTTTTGCTTTACAATGGCGCAAATCTGCTGTGAACCAGATTAATCCAGGCTGGTTAGCAGAGCGAATCATTTTGAAAAATAATAATACTTCAGAAATATATTTTGTACCAGTTTGTTCCCGTTGAGTGCCTTGTGATATTTAACTACTTCATTATGTGGATCAAATTACCGTACCGTTTTATTATATAGATACCAGAAAAGTACGTTAAGAAAAATAACGTTTTTTCATCCTTTTGAAATACCACCACACGACCCCAAGGACTGACTGGCCTCTCCAACCAACAGTTTCGTCGACGCCATAACTGCCCTAACGCCACCCCAAATTAAAAAACAAAACTGACACTATCACCCGTTTTATCCCCGTAACGAACGGAGTTAACCGAAGCGCCACTCGCCGAGACGGAGAACGTAACCGCCACAGTTCATCCAAGGTCACGGCGACGCTAATTAAGGGGACAATGAACAGCGAGGTCACGGGATTCCGTTGGTTCATCAGCTCTTGTCTGATGTGTGTATTTTGTTCTCCCGGTTGATGCATCTGTTTCAGGAGAAGATGTGATTATCTCTCTCTCTCTCTCTCTCTCTCTCTCTCTCTCTCTCTCTCTCTCTCTCTCTCTCTCTCTCTCTCTCTCTCTCTCTCTCTCTCTTCTCTCTCTCTCTCTCTCTCTCTCTCTCTCTCTCTCTCTCTCTCTCTCTCTCTCTCACACACACACACACTCTCATTCTCATTCTATTATATTGTATATTATATTATATTGTATGATTATATCTTGCGCTGTGGAGAGATATTCATTCTTTTTCTTCTTCTTTGATTAATTTTATGAGTAATATTTGATGTAGTGAATGAGGCTTGAGAAGAAGATGTGGTTGAAAACGGTTAATGATTATATCTTTGCGCTGTGGAGAGATATTCATTCTTTTTCTTCTTCTTTGATTAATTCTATGAGTAATATTTGATGTAGTGAATGAGGCTTGAGTGGTGCAATGCTAAAAAAAACGAAGATTATTTCGTGGACCGTTTTATGATAAATTCATAATGTACTTCTAATTTTTTTTTTTTTTTTTTTTTTGCATTATTGAGGTGAACAACTTTGCCATTTTTGTCCTATACCCTGGTCCTTTAGGTTTCAGATCTTGACCTTTTATAAGTTAGTATGAAGAGGAGAGTGGTAAAACAAGCAAATATACAAAAATAAAAGAGGGGGGGATAGCAGAATAAACAGATAAGCAAAGATAAAAGTAGAAAAATAAGCTCTCCTGATATGCTGTGTATTGGAAAGCCATGTGGTGTATTTTGTATTCAGTAAAACATATTTTCTAACTTTCAGAGCCATGTGAATGCCAAGCCAGTGTGAGGAAGTTACAAGTTGCAGGGGGATACTTGGGACATCTTCTTTGGCCATTTCCATTGCCAAACTATTAAAGGAACTGAGGGAGTGGAGGCAGCAGGCCCCTCAGGAGTGAGAAGACCTGGTTCAGTGTGATCAGTTAGGCTGCTTATAATTTTACAGGTTGGTTCATCACAACATGTATCACCTTCAAGAGTTGTTATAACAAAGGAGCGTCCTTTCAGATTTTTCTTGGGGAGGCGAAGTTGGCAAGCGAAATGAGTACACTTAGTTTCTGAGGTGCTGCAAGATTTTCTTTTTAATAGCGACTGTAGGAGCATTTTTAAGCTACATCTCTACCTTGAGGGGGACAATCAGAGTCTTGGGAGGCAAATGTCCGCCCCCCTAAATGGCGCTTCAGCTATAACCATATTCAGCAGTCCTCAGCCTTCATCAAAATAGCTTCAATTGAGGTGTGTATAAAGATATTGAGACAAGCAGTTATTTGCCTTCAAGCTTCTTGTTGCCTTATACACTCTTCTCGAATTAAGGAAGTTTAGAGTAAAACTGGTTCTGCTCCAAACAGCAGATGGCTGTCATAAGAAAAAAAAATCTGCATTGTTACCTTCACTGAGGTATCTGGCTGCAACTGACTTGGCTGATTTGTGGGAGTTGATACCAGTAGTGAGAACAGTCACTTCTGAAACCTTGTCAAGTCCCGGAGTATTGGTTCGTAGTACCTGGTACAGCGATGCAGACATGGAAGGCAAGAGGATTAACATCATCCTTGTTATCACTCATTAGATCCTGCAAAACAGCAAGGTATTCTGGAGTGCTGACTTCTGTGATGATAACAGAATGTTCATTGCTAGCTTATCGGTTCACTTCACCTAAACTAAGTAAGAGTGGAGTATGCTTCAAGT